TTTCCGTAGCCAATGCTGAATTGATGGGGTTCCACGGCACTGAGCGCAGGAAAGGGGGAAAGAATCAGACAGTAGTGTGTGCAACGATGACCAGTTCCCTTGAAGACACGCCCAGGACAAAAGTAGATAAGGTTGGTCTATAAGAGCGCTCAATAATGGTGGAGGCATGAAGAATCTAAGTGCACTTGAAGTGAAAAGAAGACCGACGATACCATTAAAATGCTGGGGTTACGGATTTAAGCTCTTAGTAAGGATGACCGCAATACGACAGAGGAGGCGTGCATAGAAGCGAGAACCCGCGCCACAGCACACAGAGCGGGAGGGCGCAGATATATGAACGTTGTATAGCTCGTGATAAGGTACCACTCCGCAACCATATGAGTGAGCATTGGGAAGGCCTTAGTACATCTGATACGCACTTCCGAGCCCTGTGGACACCCATCGGTAACCTTTGCTAACACCTTTATTTTACTTGTCGAACGGATTACTCCAGTAGTCTAATCACGAGGCGTGCCTTTTATACGCCAAATTAAAGGTTTTTGAAGATGTTCAGATGAAGCATTGAGTTAGCCAGTCTTATTAATTGTCCTGTAAAGTGAGCCTGATGCCATCAACTGATTGTAACATCTATAAATGACCCATTATGTTTCAGTCCGTGACCTTTACCGTATCGGAACTGCGAAGGTACTGACGTCTGACTGTGGGTGCACCTTACGCTCAACGTCCATCCGTTCGTAGGAGAAGTGCGATTTGACACAAGCAGTGATAAGAGTTTAAGCGGTGTGTATGAGGGCCCCATATGTACCTTTACAGACGACTATGGTGAAAGATAAACCCCAGATACAACGCCCAGACTGGGCACCACTATGTAGTAGGTGGTACTACTTGCCATTACCACATCAGCCCAACATTCTACCGATGTAAGCTCCATGTAATCTAATTCCTCTTTTACTCGTTGACTTATTGTGTCACCGCAGTGCGACTCTCATGCCATTTAGAATGGAAGTAATATTAAGGTCATCCTATACAACATCATGGCTCTGGTCACTTGAATGAAAGGTTCCCGTCTAGGTTCTAAAAGGATGTCCATCTGTGATTGAATTGATATAGATTTAAACACACGTTTACGGTGGGGATTTTCCTGAGTGAGCCCTGGCTTTTATAGCACCCGTAATTGACCATGATAACGAAAACCAGTCTTATGTATCAGTTAATGTGGCCGACACACACTCACTCGTGGTGATTTTTGGTCGCACGACAGGCGCTTGTAAATATTTGGCAACATTCAAGCGACTCTCTCTCTAACTATTTCCCATCACCTCTCTTTTTAAACGTTTTTCCACTTTTATTTCGCATTTGGTTAAGCGACGTTGAACATTTCGAGAAGTCGTGTTTGCTTCTCTTCCTCCACCACTCGTATCACTGTCTTTGTCCCGGCTTACCTTCTCTTTCCCTGTCCACTTCTCTAACAAACCTTCGATGTCAATTTCCACGAAGATAGTCCGCTCAGATTTCTATTTTCAGTCCCAGTTTTCATATATTTTTTAATCGCCCATAAAGCTGCTATTGAGAAGGGAATAAACTTGATACGAATTACAGTTTATTATTGCTCGTTGTCGTCCTGGCTGACATGGATTCATAAGACCTCATGTTCAATGGAGTACCCTTCAGGAAATGCGCATCTGACTTTCGGACCAAATGCGAACTTCGGCCCAAACAAGGACGTCAAGGATGTCGGATGTGGCAACGTGAATCACTAAATTTGTTATCAAAGCTCCCGAGACCAATGTTTCACCTTTCATTAATGGGTTTTCTTCAGTCAAAAAGATATCGATGATGACTGCAATGATTAAGGGATTTATGTCTCGAATATGCTTGGTGTCACCTGACTGCAACCCGCGAAATGGAGGGCGTGCCAGCAGAAATTCATTTTGAAGTCAGTATATAATGTCCTCCAAAACAACATCCGTGGTCACTTGTTTACCGCTATCCTCGCACTGCCGTTGATGAATGCCCAAGAAATTCGATATCTGTCACTTTCATAGTGAAGAGTTCGCTAAAAATGGAAGAAGACGTGAAGAGGGTAATTTCGAGTAACTGAGTTCATACTCTAGATTTTTGATTTTCAACTAGAAGATACTCTTCCCAGAGAAAGAAAAAGGGAAACGGCTTTTCAGTTTCACAACCACGAAGCCCAGCTGTACAAGCTGTTGAAGAAATATAATGTCACGGATATTCCTACACCGAAGGTATGATATTGAACGTCTCCGCTCTTCCGAGTACTTCTTTGCTTCGATTGATTTTCTTTTAATTTTTGAGGCTGTCCACATGTGTTGAAAAAACAAGCTTTGCTTATTTTCAAATCTGCTGATCCCGTATACCGACACGCTTCGAAGGAAAAATTTGCGAAGGTCGAAGTAAAGGAAATAATCCCAAGTGATATGAAGGTGGGCCCCATTTTATTTTTCCTCTTTTTGAATACGGAACCGACACGCAGTACGCGCAAAGAAGGTGTGCACTCGGCGGTCTAGCGTTGACATCACCGCGCCACTTTCGCCGCGGCACGCCCACCTACCGGGTGACCACTTGCCGCAGGTCTCGAGCTGTTTAGCAGGGAAAGAGAGAGCGTTAGCGCTGAAGAAGGTAGCATCGATGAGAGTGCATCACCCCGTGTGAAATCACGGCCCCAGAACAAACCCTCAAGCCAATCGGATCTCACATCCTTGACTCTAGCCGTTTGTCCTAGATTTCTCCTTCATCCCTTCACACTGACCACGTAATAACTTCGTATAGCATACCATTTTCCACTTGAAAATGGACATCGTTCAAATCAAAGTTGCTGTTTTGCAAAAAATCGTGGACATTTTTCAATTCGACCCGGAGATTTTTCAAATAGCTCAGGACGTTTTTCATTTCGACCCGGCTTTTTTTCAATGAACCGTGGACAGTTTTCAATTCAACTTGAATCTTTTTCAAATGACCGTAGACATTCTTCATTTCAAGATGGATTTTTTTCATTTCAAGCCAGACACCGCTCAAATGAAGCGTAACCACCTTCATTTTCGGTCGGTAATTCTTTTCAACATCAAAACAACAATTCGCAAAAAAAAACAATAATATCCGGGAAACCTTCTTGGTCAAGAAAATACTACATTTTCGAGTGAAACAAATGGTCATTTCTCTACAACCGAACACAAGGGGAACAAAATCAACAAGTTCAATTAACGAAGGGCTGTCCAGCTGCCGCGGTCGTCAAATTTACCATCATGTGGAGGACGTAACTCGCACAATCCTGCTCCGTCACCGTTCCTACACTTTCCTGAATGACTCCGCTCAGCCATCCCCTGATCACATTTGGCGCTTTCGTTCACCATTGTATGCGTATTGATCCCTTGAGACAGAAACATTGCAAGAACAAGGTCGCATAAGGGAAGGGATTCAAATACTCGGGACGATCCTAGAGAAGGTTCGATGAAGAAAAGAGGATCGCTGAAACAAACGTGTATGGGGCAGATTAGAGTTCCAATGAGAGATTTTCAGTTTTTGTTCCAGGATTTGAACATCTCAGCACATCCGTCAATTTTCAGTCAAATTTCAGCGAAAAATGTTATTTGACATTCTAGAAAATGTGTCCAGTTTGATCTGAAAAATCTCACCAATGTTTTGAAAAGTGTCCTAAATGAATGAAAAAAAGCCGGGTCGAAATGAAAAATGTCCACGGTCCAGTGAAAAAAAAGCCGGGTCGAAATGAAAAATGTCCACGGTCCAGTGAAAAAAAGCCGGGTCGAAAATGAAAAATGTCCACAGGTCATTGAAAAAAAGCCGGGTCGAAATGAAAAAAGTCCTGAGTCAATTGAATAAGGTCCACTTTGGAGTGGAAATGGTATATTAGCTGCATTTTCATAGCATAATTACCAGTCACATTTAGATTTCAGGTGTACTTCTCCAAAGAATACTCTGAGGACAATCCTTTGAAAAGATATATATCATGGACTATGTTAACTGATGGTGTTCCATACCACATACATGACAACCTCAAGCCGGAGTCTATATTACAGGTGCAGTACATTCAAACTCTCTAATTTCATTTTATTTTGTCATATTTATACGTGTATGTACGGTATCGCGTATAGGGGAAGCAAGTTTGTGTGCGAAAAACGTCAATGTAAACTTTTGCTTCCAAGTAACAACCTATACTTGCCAAAGTGAAAATGAACCGATCTTACCAATAGCTCTACTAGGGATTTGTCAAGTACCATTATTTCTAGTGGTTAGAAGGCCGATTCCTTTTTCAAGGGTTGATGTGTGGGTGTTGTTCCTGTTGCATACTTCATTCTCCTTCGAGCTAGAACTGAAGAGCCAGCCGCTTGTGAAGTGCGAGGACGTGAGAGAAGGGTCGGTATCGACGGAAAGTTTCTAGACACCACTGCCTTTGGAATCTAGAAATTCGCCCCAGTCATCAAGGCGAGCCTGCTTCACGTTGACTCCCTGTCCAAATACCCCGCTCGCGTACCTCGGTGTCAAAAACACGCTCAACGCGCCCATCGTTTACCCGCTTCGGCCCTCGCGAAAACGAATGCGAATCACAAAGCAGATCCAGGGCTCCAGTGCTGCTAAAATTAGACGCATTATTGCAGATCTTCGAGACGGCTTAGTGATTCATCCGGTCTCTTCATTGTACGTCTCACCAGTGATCGCACCATTTCTTTTATTTTCAGGCAGGGGACCTACACCAAGGCGGGAGTGAAATTTGGGGTCCAATTAAATTTAATTATGGGAGAAAGCCCTTCGGGGGGAAAGGAAAGTAAAGTGACCCTGGTTTTGACAGTGGGAAATTAACATGGACAAGACACACTCCATTGAGGCTCCATCAACATTGTACCTTCTAACATTTTATCTAATTGCGTTCTAATTGACGCAATGTTCATAGAAGCAGGCGTGGGGCACCGATTTTCTCATGACTCATTCATTGTCTGTTTGTATTCAGCCAATGAGAGCCATCGCCAAGTTGGAAGCAGCCGCCATGAAATTTTCTGATGAGGAAAAAGCTCCATTTCAATTCAATCCCTTCCACGATCTCCGTACTAAATTTTTCAATAAAGACGTAAGTATAAAATTATTGTTGTCACGATGTGTTGGCGGTGTTTCACAAGGGCGACCCGTTGTCAAAAACCTTTTCAGAGGTGGATCGGCTTGTTTTACTTTCCTTTTTTTACTTTTTTTCTCTTTTCATTTGACTAAATTCTGTCTGCGAATACGTCAAGACAAAAACACTTGGGCTTGTGAGAGTTGAGTTCTAAAAATTGAATCTAATTAGTTGTTATCGCCTAAGCCATGTACATGAGAGTGGCGTATATTACTCAAGCAACCCACTTAAAAGCAAATTCCGCCGTCCATAAATCGCTCCGCCATTCTCGATCCGCTTCATATTTGGCTGAAACACTACCGTTTTTTTTTATCGGGACTTGGCAGATAGACAATTAGCGCCTCAGCTTGCCTCTCGTATACCCGCAGGTCATTGTATAGAAAAATCATTCACAACAATGATGAAAAACCGTGTAACGTGCGTTTTCAGAAAAGACGCTTCTTTCTTAAGACAAATGGATCACTTTGCACCATGATGCGTACTCTCGGTGGTGAGGAATGCCGTGATAAACAAATCGACCAGTGGAGCCATTGTAGAAGATATCATTGATACAGAGCTTATCGATAAGCTGTCAATATCTCTAGGCGAGCTTTAGCATTTTTTACATTTTTATTATACTTGTTAGCTTTTTTCTTTGTCTATTTTCAATCTTGTTTTTTTTGTTTACTTTTATCCTATTTTTGAATTTCTTATGTTAAGGTACATGTTTTTGTTTTCTATTTTCTCCAGGCCATTCTGTATCTTTACAACTATTGCTGATTTCATTACCTTCTTTTTGTTCTAATAATATCTCACAAAATGCGAATCAATTAAGATGCAGGGCAGCATCCTTAGGCAGCTCCACGCCTTGGGGGGAGGACATTCAAAGTACGTATTCTTACTGTGCTTGGAACTGAGCCTTGCTACCGGGAAGAGCGCGTTTCTGTGGCGAGGATTACGAAGCGATTTGTGGTCCTATTAGCGCTTTCTCCTTATCTCCTGTGCTTTAGTCCAAGTGTCACCTGCCATTGCCTTTCAAATGCTCCCCCCGCCTCTTCCCCGCACTTATATCCGCGAAGGACATGAGCCGCCGGTTCCGAGTACAAGCTGCGAATAATAGCTCGAGCCTACCCAAATGAATTCTAGGCTATGACATGATGCAGAAGTGTGAGTTCAGTGTGATTTCTGACCACTCTCACCGTGGCCTACCAAATCCATAATTGACTGAATACATTGGTTCCCCATTTCGCTTCAGCGCTCAAAAGTTGAAAAATATTTGGGGCTGGTCGTGCTCGAATTGCTACCTCTTTTTTTGGTCACCACAGGAACTACCAGGAGACAGCAACGGCACCCTAGCACACCAAAGAGTCTGGGAGTATCCAACTATTTAGCGTAAACATGTTGGAGCAACTCCCAAACACGACAAGAAAAACTACTGAAACCTATCCTTGCCCTGACGTTTCCAGTATATCGGGATATAGGGATGGAGAAGGTGCTCTGTCATGGAGACATGTGGTCAACGAACTTGATTTGGAGAAGAGGAAAAGATGATGTCGACTTGGCGGCTGTCGTCGATTTTCAGGTGCACTTCTTTGATAAAAAATGATGATGTGGACCAGCTGTGATTGCAGTGGTGCGCGGGGCATACGGGGCGGTCCTACCGATTTTTAAGGATTACGGGCATGTAGTCGTGTTGACCAATTACTTATAGTGTTACGCTTTGCTTTTCATCATCGCTTTCGAGGTAGTAATGAAAATAGCTCCAACAAGGCAATAGGCTAGCTTACTGAGCTTCTGTACCGATTCCCTAGTGGTGCTTTGGCTAGTGGGCTCAGGTACACTTAGGGTATAGCATTTTCGCTGCGAAGGAACGTCTCGGAGGTGTTGGCGGTGAGGGGCTCTCTTTTAAAGGAATGACATGAGCGGAATCCCTCGAAAATCTAATGAATATCTCTAAAATATTTCCCGAAAAGTGTAGAGTTTTGGAAAGGTTTACTGTTACTATTGTATGATCAGGGCATGAACTTCCCTCTAGGTCAACCATTTCGTTGAAAAGCTGTTGAGTTTGGTATGGTCTCCTCCACCCCGCGCGTGTTCCGAACCCTGAAAACCCTCTCTTCTATCAAAAATCACAAACCCTACTCATTCTATTGGTGTTTTTGGTAAAATGCCATCAGAATTTTGACACTGCCCCGCGCGGGTAGGTCCCGCTAAGGATAATGGGGATCCTTTTCGATACATTCCCTATCAAATGCTCGGCTAAGGATGTGATACACAAATACTGACCGAAGAACGGCATTTTTATGACTACTGCTTTCGTTACCCGACAAATGTAACGCCATTCAGACAGCTCATTTCGGTCTTGCCACTGCAGACATCGTTCGAGTAATGTGTGCTTGTATGAGTGGCAAAGACAGGAGAGAGAACTGGGAACAGATCCTCAAAACGTTCTACTCTTATCTTGAGGAGGAGCTGGAGAATTGCGTCTTGCCCTACACTCTGGATGCGGTATGAAAATACATTTGATTAAAACTGATTGAAAAAATCATGTTTTCTGCCAATTACAGTTGAGAGAGGCTTATCGACAATATTTTCCATTCGGCGCTTTTATGGTGGTTCCTATGATTGGACCATTGTTCCAGATGGCAAGCAAAAGCGACGATGAGGAATATAAAGCTAAGGTGAGACTCTATTCGCAGGCCAGAATGTGCGATCTTACAGATCTATCGTAGTAAGTGGAGCGTGCTTAACCACATTTCGCTTGGGTTTTACTTCATCGACCTTGGTGTCTGAGTTTGGGCTGCAATCGAAGTCCGCGTGGGTTTGGTCACATTATGATACAAACGGGTTTGGCTGACGGGCTACTACTATAAGGGCAGCTT